ATGTTCAAAAGATGGCTGACGCATTCTACTGCATAGCTCCAGAAACATGGCGGTAACCCCGCTTCCAAGAGACAAGTTGCGGTTGTCATCATAATGAACTGATTGTTCCTCTCCGCCAGAGAATTGTTCTGAGGATGATTCGGTAGAGAGTGATCGAATGGGATCTTCAGCTGCTTCATAGCCGTCTCAAACTCTGGGGCTTTGTCGGCATAAGCAATCTTGATCTTCTTCAATCCTTTGAAGTGGTTTATTGCATTGACCACGTCCTTGGCAAACCTCTCTTTCGACGGATAGGCCCATATGACGCCTGTGTACCTGTCACGAATGACGAAGATCTCTCGATCAGTACTGATCCCTTGATCAAGGATGTTCCTCGTATCGACAAAATCAAAGGTAACCAGATCCCCAAAAGCTTTGAGCTTTCTCTTGAACGCTCCTCGATGCGTCTTGAAGTGTTTCATCTTTGCTCTGATGCATGACTCACAGTAGGGATTCTTGTAACGGTGTGTGAGTAGATGTTCGATTTTCCTGGCATCTGCTTTCAGAGTTCCTCTTCTCACCATTCTGCTTGCACCGTCAACAATATCCACCTCGATGTCATCTGCATCATCATCGTCAGCTTCTGGTTCACTGTCTCCGGCGACATCTGATCCTACCTCATCTTCTTCTCCAGGAGATGCCTTGAACTTCTTATTCCTCTTTCGTCTTTTGACTTTTGGAGGCTCAATCACAGGGAGGTCGTCATCATCACACATGACGCCTTGAGGATCCACATCACAGTTGGTGAAAGCCGATTGGTAATCAGCTTCACCTTCTCCTAGGGTGAACCTTGCGATCATCTCCGCCCTTACATCGTCGGTGGGGTTACAGAAGTCACTGCCCTTGACAATATATGGGATGTTTCCCTCTACTTCTAACATGATTTTCTTGTAGTTCGGGGAAACCATGTACGGGTTGCCGCAGGCTGGCCATATGAATGTGTAACCTTCCTCCATGCATTTCTTTCCAACAGACAGTACTGAAGGAGACTCATCTAAGACGAATGGGGAGTAGGTAGAGTCAAATTCGTCGAAATGAATGTCGGCGACTCCCTTTGTGGATGTCACTCCATTTGCAGTATAGAATGACATTGATTGGTCGCTTTCTCTCACTTCCAGACCTAATTTCTTGGCTCTGCCTTTCGATATCAAATCATACCCACATCCTGTGTCCATGATGAACTTTGTTCTTGACCCTTTGGCTGGAATAGACAATGTCTTTGTGTCTGCATGATCTTTCTTTCCCTCGCATACATGAGGAATGACTTTATGATGGAAAACTAGGCCGTCATCTTCGTCAAAAGACATAGTGACCGCTAGGTCACCCTTTGGTCCAACTGGTATTCGGACCCTCTTGATCTCAGTGTAGGGGACCATCAATATGCCTCTTGCCTCTGCGACCTTTTCTTCAAATCTGATTTGTTCTTTCCTCGTGTAGCAGGTGAGCTCTTTCTCATCGTATCGTTTGATGTCTGGACGTAGAGGTTTCCTTTCTACTACCTTCCATTTGTTCCTGACTGAGTAGATCGCTTCGTTCAACATGATCTCACAAGTCTCTTCATCAAAGGATACTTTTGCACCTTCTTCTCTTGCCTTGGCGGATGCAGCAATCCCTTCATCTTCGGATTCGTCCATGAAGAGTTCACCGTCAATGGCTGGGGCTCCAGGCTTCGCCTTAGGCTTCGGTTTGGGTTTTGCCTTGGGCTTTGGCCTATCGTCTCCTGAGTCAGCTGGTGCAGATATCCCTTTCTTAGGAGAGGCTTTTGGGTCATGGTAGAACTTGCAATCCTTCCCCTTGTCACAAGTTCCTCGAATCCACATCCAACATACTGGCTTGTCATTCTTTCCGACAGAAGATCCTCTGGATGGTGATCTGGGTTTCTTGTGACTGAATGGGCAATCTTTCCCCATAGTGCAGTTACCTTTCACGAAGTATTTGCATGGTATCTTCTTCTTGTCTGTACTCGGACTTCGGCTGCGATCCTTTCCATCACCTTTACCTTTCCCCTTTCCCTTTTTGTTCTTGTCTTCAGGATGCTTCTTGGGATTGGGTTTCGGCTTCACTGCAGCAGCGTCTTCTGAGACAACCTGTTCTTGTTGCCCTTTTGGTTTCTTCTTCGGATCAGCTGGTGCAGCTTTCAGTTTTGGAGCAGGTCCGCCTGGTTTGAGATTCTGAAAGATATTGGCCACATTCTTCACTGCCTTCTCCTTTTCCAGGATCATCCTGTCTTCAGTTTGCCGTTCGATGTGCCTTCTGATCATATCACGTAGATGTTTGTATGTCTTCTTGGCATCATCGTCGTTCATGCTGTTGTAGGCGCTGATGTCGTATGCCATGAGGTTTGAGTTCCTGATCTTTCTCCATAGGAGATCCCGAAGAGTTTCGTCGCTCGGGACGTCAACGGGCTTCATTCCTGCCAGAATCTCATCCCAAGTGTGGAAGAACAACGATAAGTTCTTGTCTCCTTGATATTCTAGTTGGTAGAGGTGCATTGAAGTATATAAGACTTCCACATTTGATGTTGTCTTGAAATTCATAAGGATCAGGGCTAGGACCTCTCTTCCCTTTATGAGGCTTGATGTTCTCCCTTTTGCATTGATCCTCGTCCTCAACTTCATAGCTACACCTGAACCATCATCTTTCGCATCCATGACGACCTTGGTAAGAGCTAGGCCGAGTTTGGCATCGATTGAATGGAATCTTTGGTCTCCTGAGTCGACAAACTTGTCCGGATCAGGATCGTCCATGGCTTCTTTGATCCAGTCGATCCAGGGCTCTTGATCTGAATCATTGGCCGCAATGATGATCGATTGAATGAGATTTGCCTTCCATAGTCCGAGATCATTGATCCTGGGCCATGACGGAACGTTTATCTTTGATTCTTCCTTCCTCGATACTTTCATGATTGTAGAGGTTGCCGGTGTAAGATGAGATGAAGAGGATGCTTCTGCTTCTGAAATCTTGTCCCTCAATGATTTGTTCGCCTCGGATAGCTCAATTGATTTCTCCCTTTCCTCGGCGTACTCATTGTGGGTTTCGGCATACCATTCATACATCTCATCTCGGCTCTCTGTCATTTCATTGTACCCGTCCTTGTAGTGTTTCGCCTCCTCTTTTGCGTTCCGAATCTCATCTTCCTCGGACGCGTGGGTTGGTAACCCGCGGTCTCTGGAACTAGGACGCTTGCTGTACCGAGAGACTATGGGTGCCATTCGTGCTTCTGCTTTTAATTTCGCATTTTCCATAATGACATTCTTTGTCTCCTTCTGGCTTTCCAATAGTGCATTCTCCAGTTCTCTGATCTTCTGTTGAATTTCAGCACCATCATCGCCGAACATAGGAGCTCTCATCATATTCTCTCTTTTCAGCTGTGCGTTGGCTTCGGATAGAGCGAGGTTGGCGTCTTTCAACTGTTGTCGTTCACGGATGGAACCTTCTAGGACTTCGTTGTTGAATATTTCTCCTTTTGCGATAACCTCCTTTGCGACGTTCGCTTCGTATTCATGGTGGCTCGCCTTCATTTCTGCCATTTCTTTAGCAGAGACTTCAGTCTGGCATACAAATATCTCCATCCTCATGCCCACTTCCATCTCTTCTATCTCCGCTCTCGCGTTGAGTTCAGCTCCACGTGCCATAGCTAGTTGACCTCGTAGATGATCAATAACCATAGCTTCCTGATTGCTCTGATCTTGAGATGAGTGAACACTGTGTTGAAGACGTCTTTCCCTGACCTCACTGTTCCATTGTTCTTCTCTCTGGTGTTGGATCACCTCGTGCATGTTGACATTCTCATCCTGTAGCGCAATCATTCTAGCTTGTATCTGGTCAGCTATTCCGACGAAGGCTGTGTTCTCATCCTGAATGGCTTTTGATCTTCTATTGATCGCCAATGAAGATTCATTCTGTTCTTGGATGTGTCCAATTGCTGCTTGAAGCTCTTGGGACATTCTGTCCTTCGTTGCTTTCACAGATTCAAGCTCTGAATGTTCTTGATGAGTTTCTTGTGCAAGCTCTTGATATCTCATGTAGATATGTTCAGCTGTCGATTCCGCCAAGCGTAGCTTGTGTTCGAGCTCTTCAATTCTTATTGTCGCTCCTTCATCTTCCTGTGTCATCTCTTGTAGATGTTCCTGCATCTTCCTGTTGTAGTCATACATTTGCCTGAACTCCACTTCAGCCTCGTGGTGTAGTCGTGAGTATCCGGCTTGGATGCATTCATATTCTTCATGAAGAAAATTGTATGCATTTCTCGCCGATCTCAATTCTTCACCCAGCTGAATCTCTCTTCTTTGCTCTTTTGCTCCTCTATCATCGTCACGTCTCTTCTCTATACTCCTTCTTGGGGATCTCGCGGTAGACGTTATAGGCGATGTAGATCTTGTTGTAGCTCTCATCGATCTTCTTGGTCCTACGGGTGCAAGATCGGTCAGATTCCGAGCCGGTGGCACGGATCTTTCCGAGATTTGTGATCCAGTAGGCATAGTGATAACGTCAGCATTTGCTGATGAATCAGTACCCATTGTAGAGTCTGGTGACGAAATGGTGTTGGGACCACCAGGAGCAGCGAATGAATAGGGTTCGCTTCCATTTCCTCCTGAGCTTGACATTGCAGGTTTCTGTAATGACTAGTCTTGTTCTTGGTCTCGTGTAGCTCGTACGGCTATAAAGAGCGCGTACGGCTGATAACCTGCGAGTGGATCTTAATCAGCGAAGTTTGAAGCTATCACTGACGGTCCATAAGCGGCGTAGCGTCGGAACGGAAACCGCACCTTTTCTAGTCGCTTGATCCTTGAGCCAAAGTACATATGGTACATATATATGTACAAGTTGCACTGTACGTGTCGCTGCACTTCCATTCGCACTTTTGATGGCTATTGAGACTGAATGGCGAGCCAAACTCGACAAACCGATCTGTGAATTCCCAAACACTATGCACGCTTCTGACAGGATGTGCCTAGATGTCAGGCCATCGGCAGATTCAAAGACAGCAAAGCTCTTCTCCTTGGGACGTTCGAGAACACGCAGCCAGAACCCACGGCCATGTTTCCTCTAGAATTAAAACGGAGGGAACTGTTTTGAGGCCCATTTTCTCTGCACCTTTTTTAAATCCTTTAAACCTTTTCAACAACTATAGAACGATCCTCCTGGACCATGTTGGCGTCACAAATGGACCAAAAACATCGCATCTCAAGAACATGCCCAACGAAGTCGCAAAAACTCGCCCCCGAAGACGAACAAAGGCACATTTCCCAAAACAACGATCATTCGCATGGTCCAGTTCAAAACCCTCCCGCCGTTCTTTCTGGGTCCATCCTCAGACTCGCCTGGGTCCCAGACTCGGTCCCGGCAGGGGTGACGACTCCATACGACTCCGAGCGTCCGCTGCCCGGTCTCGGGCGAGCAGGGCGGCGCTGGCAGTCGGGTCTCGTCCGAGGGCGTGGTTTCCTGTCCGCTTTCGGACGGAGCCAACTGCTTGGAGTTTCAAGGTTTTTGGGCGGTTGGAACTGAAGCAACAACCAAATCCTTAGAAGTCTCAATAAAGGCGTATGCACTCACAAACCGAAAGAGAAGTACATGCAACTTGGAGAAAAGAAGAAGTTTCGCACAAACCGAAACACTGCACTGTCCTTCATCCACTGCTGCTGCATCAGCTCTGCGGTCACCGGTGAGTCGGGGATATCACGCATCCACTCCTGCACCTGGTCGATTCGACGTCGGTCGGCCTTCGATGAGTCGAAGGCAGAAGGGCCGTTGCCACAGAGTGGGGGGGTAGAGGACGCTGCTAGGAACAAGAAGCTACTAGGAACAAGTGCATCGCTTCTAGTAACAAGTGCCACGCTACTAGGAACAAGAATTTACTATAGCGGCTCCTGGCATCGCAAGGACGCTACGAGGAGCAAAACTCTTCACCCCCTCAGTTCACCATGACCATGACTTGCCACCCTCTTCACCCCTCCTGAAGAGTTTTCTCTGAGAAAATCACGACGCCCTGAGAGTGCAAACTTCACTCCTGGAAAACCGCCTGGTAGTGGTAGTAGTGTGACTCGCAGGTGGAGTAGAACCAGTCGTTGGAAGTTCTGGGGAAGTTGCTCTAGCCAGGTGCCACGTGTGACACGATGTGATATGATGTAGTGGAGGCCCACAAACCATCAAACACCTAGTTTTCCCTGGCCGAACACATTGTTCTTGTTGGCAAAAGCCTTTATTTTTCATCGTTTGAGGGCCACTGGTATGATGTAGTGGGAATAGAGAGGGGAAACATGGGAAACATCTATCTGGGAATATCAGAATTAGATGATCTTTTTCGAGCCAGCTTGCGAAGCTCTGTCCACTCGCAAAAGAACCATCTCATCAAAACAAACCTTTTTGCATTCCATCGATTTGCACCAAGTTGTGGCAACTTCACACACAACTCCTACTTCCCCTATTCAGAGCTTCACCACACCCCAAAAAGGGAAGCTTTGTTCCAACCACCGCCCACCAGCTCCTGCCAAAAACCCGCTCCAGGACAAACCAACGCCACGCGAAGGAACCACCGCCTCCTCGTCGAAAAGGACGCTCCGGCGCGGCAGGGCCGGCGGCGCTTTGGCCTGCTGAGCCATCCGTGCCGCGCGTTCCTCCTGAGCACGGCAGGTTCGGTGGTGGAGAAGGTTGGAGTGGTTGAGAAGGACGGTTGTCGTCAAGGTTGGCCTGAAAAGGTTGGATCCTATTATGATCCCAGTCAATAAAAAACCAGCCACTTTTGGAGAAAAACCGCTACCGAAAACGAGGAATGGTCAATCTGCAAGACTTTTTTGACCCAACCAAAGGGACGTGTCCAAATCGGTCAATGGATGCAACTGGACCTGTGCGTCTACTCGTCGCGACCTCATGCATCACTTCGGACTACCGCAATGACTGCAATGAACTCGCCCCGGATGCTGAGGGACTTCCTCCATCCACTGTATGCTATACTAAGTAGCGTCTCCCCGACCTCCCGTCTCCCCGACCTCACCGAACGTCGACGGTGTCGAGCGTCGACGTCTCCCGTCTCGACCCAAGAGGCTGGACATCCCACCACGCGGTCGATGTACGCATTCTGCGCGTCCTCTTTGGCCTGGGGAAGGAAGGGGCAGCTGCGGGGCAGCTTGGGGTCGCCGACTTGGCACCGGCCGGGTTGGATGACCGAACATTCGGGGATTCCAAGGCAAAATGGTCTGCTGCCAGGTTTCTCTTTGGGCACAATGTGGGGGTCCAAAAGCAGGCCTTTGTATGGGTAAAAGACAACAGCAGTACTTCTGGCTGTGGGTCGACCGGGCATGACCCGACCTATACCTGAATTGGCTTGTTGTTTGGCTACATGCTGGACGGACCTCTTCAGGGCTCTCGTCCGAACGGCCACGGGCGCCGCACCCCCCCCCGCCGCTGTCGGGCTTCGCTCGCCGTCGCCTTCTCCTCTTGCTTCTTCCGCCGATCCAGCTGCATCTTCGCCCAGACGTCGCGGCGCTGGTGACGAACCATGGTGATGACCTGCCACGCGGAGAGGCGGAGAGGCGGCGACGGCGCGCTTGTGTCGTGGCGACCTCTGCGTGGAGCTTCTCCGTTTGGGTGGACCCAGAAGTCATGCAAAGGTGCGAGGATGGTCGGGTTCTACTTCGCAAAGTTAGGCAGACGAGTGAACACACAAACATTCCTGTCTTGCTGCCGTGGGTGAACAACTACCAAGTAGAAGTCTGGAAAACCGATTCTGGGAATCTCTCCACGTCTCATTCTTATCAGCCCATGATAGAGGCACCGGAAATCATCCACCGACAGCACTTGACCTGCGTTTGTCCGGGCGGTGAGTTCTTCGTGCTCAACACGGTCGACTCGGCGAACCCAGCGGGGACACAGCGAAATGCCGGAGCTGCCGGTCCGCAGGGGAAGAGACCTGCAGATTTCAAAAGGAATACATCTTTTCCAAAGACCAAGAGAGTCTAAGAGAGCAATGAAATCACTGAAACGAAAACCATGAGGACGTTGGGAGGGAGGGTCAAAGCTGCTCAGCTGTTTTTGCGTCTTTGCTTCCACCGAGTTCCACCGAGTTCAGCTTCCACCGAGTTCCACCACCCCGTCCAAGGCTGGGGAAGGTGAGCAAAGTGCTTTCTTCGGACAAATCGGTGCGTGATGGTGTGCCCATGTGGGCACACCAACATGAAATGACCGAAGAAAAAGCACAGCCAATTGAGGATGTGCTGAAGATCACCTCATGTCACACCTGAAAAAGAACCGGCACCTGATTGATGACCTTGTAGGTGCTCAAGCAAGTCTGGCACACCTTCCTCGGGTCAGTTCGCCAGCGACGCGTTTCGGCCGATGCAACAGGCCATAATCACCAAGACCGACATAGAATGGAGCTCATGAATTGCTTGCGACATCTTTTGAACACCTCTTCCAAAGAACCAGTAGGTGGAATGCACTTCATGACACATCAGCCATTCGGTATACCGGGGCCGACTTGCCGTTGGATCAAAAAGCTCGGACTCCGACACGGGCCGTCGGTGCGGTCGGTGCCGGCTTGTAGGAGCGATCGGACGCTACGAACGGGGCTCCTGGCATCGCGACTCGAACGGAGCATTCTTGCCATGTAGCCTTGTAGCAAGAAGCTATTAGGGGCTCCTGGCCATACTAATAGGAGCAAGGACACTACTAGAGGCACCTGTAGTTGAACAAACATGTACCACATTCTGACTGACCCTGAAGCCCTATAGCAGTGGAAATTCCTGACCCTGGATCCTTCTGCGGTCAAGAAAAGCACCTCCCCGTTCTGGCCGATGCCCAAACGAAGATCTGTCGCATCTCATCCGAGGTCAACAGGTCTCCAGTGGCACCCGAAGCGCGCCTATTGGGATGCTGGTCGGGTCATGGCATCCCACTTGACGGTAGGTGGACCTCCCCTGGTCGGGTCTTTGCGGGGTTGGACAGCCACGACACCCCTATGGTGCTTAGCCTCACCCATCGTGCCCCCCCCGGACAACATCCAAGATTGGGCCAGTGACACTGGCCGTAGCCTGTATCGCATCCCTGCCACCTGAGCAGTGGGGCACATGGACTGTCGACTTCGGCAGATTTCAGCCGATTCCAGTCGGCTTCCCAGAAACCATCATTTTGTTTTCCGACATCATGTGCGCTACATTAGTCAATATGTGTGAATAAGTGAATGCCAGTGAAGAACCAGGGTGCTAGAACTCGACCTCGGACATTTTGCTAAAAACTGCACTACGCTTGAGACCATGGAGTGTCTGGGTCATAGAAGTGTATGGATAATGGCCCCAATTTCGGTTGACCATGAGCTTTCCGAATACCAAATCAGGTGGTGACTTTCTACGAAACCCATGACGATTTCAGGGAGTGTGTCGGCTTCATGCGTAGGTCTGCAAGGGCCAATGGGTGGTAGCTCTGCGTCGTCCAGGGCCGACAGCCGACGATGACGGTCCATCCCTGGCTCCGGACCACCCCACCAACGACGAGACCTTAAGCCATTTCCACACCGATGAGTAGCACGAAGCAAACGAAGCTCGTTTGCGTAATTCATACCCTCATACGTGTTCGCAGGAAGCACAGTATGGGCCAAAGAACCCGAAACGATCGGATGGGCCACGCGCCGGACGGACTTGTTACTGGCCTCGCCGACCCCGGTGAACGTAAACCGGTTGGACCAGGCCGCCGAAACATCCAAAAGCTTCTGCATGTCGCCCTTCTCCTGGTGCGACACGACGAGGCGCAGTGACCAACAAGGATGAGTCCACAGACCTGGAGTCTCCTGCTGCATAGAAAACGAAGCAAGCATGGAACAGGTCGGCCCCTGAAAGACCCTTTTTCTCTGGTCTGTGGCCTGCTTCCATGATTATCTGAGGAAGGGCCAATAGAATTCATGTGCCACGGCCTTGTAAAGCTGCGACGTACGTTTTATCCAAGGCAAAACAGTTCGCTTCATGTCCAATCACTTACACCTGGCCCATTTCAGGCCCTGAGCCCTGACTTCAGGCCAGGAAACACACACCCAAACACTTCTGCCCCAGGGAGACTGAATGGGCGGTAGATGACCGACAGCTCAGGCATCCAAAAACCCATCCCAAAACTCCCAACCTCACCGAGGACCTCTCAACCTCTCAACCTCACAGTGCCGATCTGAACAAAAACACCCAAGCAGATCTCCACTCACCCGGCAATACGAACACACTCGGTGAACCGCCGAGGAAAACCGGAGAAGTCGTTCCACAAACCGGACCTCATCGGCCCGAAGCTGCTCCGTGGCGGTCAAGATGAGGGCGGCGTCCTAGCCAGCCGAACGGCACCGATGAGGGCAGCGGGGCTGGTCTAGAAGCTCAAAGAAAGGGAATTGGATGGAATTGGTCAAGATGGAGGTGGAACATGTGGTGAGTCGATTTGACTTGCGTCTTCGCATTTTGTCAGGTCATTTGGAGATGGCTTGGGTGTGTCTGAGTCTCAGAACCATTGAACAAATCAAGGCCCAATTATCAATTCCAACACACATCGGCGGTGTCTCTCCTACGATCTATGGAAATTGCCATCAAGCTCAATAAATCCGGTGGTAACCGTCGGTGTTGGAGAGAAATGCGAGATTTTGACGCCGGCAAAGTTTGTGCCACCCAAGAAAGATGTATTCAGTCGACTTCCTCACGTGTGCTCCACCTTGGCTAGTGAAAACCATGGTTCCACTTGATTCGTCCAGGTGGTCTTCTCTCCCCCGTTTCACCCCAGCACTTGCACCCGGCAACCGACCCGACCAACACCCTGAAGAGCCTTTTTGGCGCCCGGAAGCTGCGAAGAAAAGTGACACACTGTGCCACTCGTATCTTCAACTTATACATGTAGAACAATGATTTCTGCATTTTGACATTGAACTTTCCTCTCAGCTTTGGTGTCCAGTTGTTTCTGTCGGAAACTCCCCGTTCTCCTTTCTTGTGCAGGACTTTTGACTAAGACCAGCAGCAAACAGCGTGCTTCCAAATCTGACATCGAACAAGCTACCGGAAGGCCTCGGCCTAGGCCTCTTCACCCACTTGGGGAAATGTGGCACTGATCAGCTCCGCCATGCCTTCCTGCAAGCTCCAGGTTTGCAATGCCTTCAGCACGAAACTGGTCTCTCCTCCTTCCGGAACTTGTTGGAAGACCTGGTGACCAATCTTTCCTCGTCCAAAAGGCCCAGGTGACTTTCCTCTCTAAGAAAACCATCTGGCCCTCGACACCTTCCCTCGTTCCGCCCTCGTTCCGTCCATGTCGCCCACGGATGAGACGCAGCGCAAAGACGCTCTCTCTCGTCCGTGGGGCTCGTCACACATCAACGACCTCAACGAGGAGACGAGGCCCGACTGGAGGAGATCAAGTCGGGGTGCTGAAGCGCCGGAGCCCGACCCTCTGCTCCCGACCTTCAGCGGCGTCCAATCATCACAGACTCCGGCGGAAGAAGATCCCGGTGATGTTGACGACATCTTGTTTTGGTTGCTGAGAAATAGGCGGTGAGACCAACATGAGGGTCTCATGGTATGATATCTGGCTCTTTTACGATGATTAGATGTCATTGTTTCAATTCAGATGTGAATTGAGACATGTAGTCTTAAAACAGACACACACCATCCAAAGGAGCATCAAGCGCCTCTCGGCTTCGCTGCTGTTCCAGATCACAGGCTCCACCCGGAGGCCTGTCTGCACGTTGTCCACTGAGAGCCTGGCTGTCTGTGAACTGCATAGAATCAGCTCATTACTGAGGTCGCCCTCCGTGGCTGTCACGGTCGAATCCTCAGGCGTGCGGCTCCAGCGTGAAAACGGCAGCTACTTGTGCTGGTATTTGTTGTTGAACACCCCAGCAAGGGTAAAGAAAATGATCAAACTACTCTCCCACTTGACATGGAAGTGGATGGCACCTCCAACTTGGTAGATCAAAATGTTCTTCCAGGGGTCATACCGTACCACATCCAAGTCAGAATGTACACTCACACACACACACACACGGTGGGAGGACAAAACGACAAAATCAATCCACAAAGGCACTCCGAGGACGCCATTTCACGCACCACCGGCATTGGCTTCACCATGGCAGCATCGGCTTGCAATGCCTTTTTTCTCAAAGCTCTCTTAGCTTAACTCATCGACATCGACGGTGAAACTGGTGCATGTCCAACTTTACGGCGAACAGCTTCGTTTGAACCACCGTGACTGGCGCTTCAGCTCGCTCTTCGAGCCGGAGAGGATGCATTTTTCTGAAGCAGTCTCATGGGAGTATGCGTGAACATGCGTGAACCCATGTCCTAAGCGGCCCCGTCTTCAGGTCCTGATGTTTTTCTTCTCAAAAGAATGACCTGAGAGTTAATGGAAGAAGTACCCCACTGAACAATGTGACAAAGAGTCAAGATGTGTCAAGATCATATCTCTTGATAGATGCAATCCTGCATCAGCTGAAAACCGTAATTAAGACATCAACATTATAACTTTTGTGCAGTGGATTGATTCCAGGGTATTCCACATGGCGCAGGACTTGGTCTCTCAGCCATCAAGTGCTTGAGGCGAGTTGCCATGCTGACTATGCAATTAGGTCTGAACATGCAGGGACACATGCCACACCCAACAGCAGAACAGTTGCTCAATCGAACCTCAAAACGACCAAAGCCATCTGGAACACTTCAACCACCCTCGGTGTATTTCCAAACCCATCACCGGATGTGCCGCTGCGCCTGAAGGCGACCGGTCGTCTATTGGCCGCGTCAGACGCGTCCCGAGGACCCGGTCCTCGGGGTCGATGCGCCAATCTAAAGCCATCAGCCACTGGCAGAGCTGCGGATGACTCCGAGCTTCCAAGACCTCCACCGGCGGAGGCAACACACCCGGGCGCGGTTTGGCGGTTGGCGGTGGCGCGCATGCGGGTGCGGTGCCGAGGTGCGGGAGCAAGGCAAAGGCGCCTTTTTGGGTGGGCAGCTGTGGGAACGGAAGACATCAGGCATGTGTTCTAGAACACACACACACACACACACACACACACACACACACACACACGCGAAAAAGGAGGCTGACCCAACCTTTCTTGATATGTCGTGTTCTTCTGGGCCTAGTGGACGAGCACAAAACGCACAGGTCAGGCATTCGACTTGGAGGGTTCATCATCCCAAGAGCATGCTGATCAGTGGATTTCGAGGTCGAAAGATGTGCTACATTGGAAGATCTGCCGAATGGAAACGAACCAATCACCGGAAGACCAAGCCATCTCCACAGATCCAGAGCATCCATCTCCACAGCACCATCACTCCCCACCAAAAAGCCTCGACGTTGCCCCCTTGGACCGTTGGGCGTCGCTCCTTCTGCCCCGCCCGGGATCTCGACAGGATGCTCCTAGGTCAAACACTCAAACACCACAGATGGAACCCCATTGAATTGGTCCAGGGAATCGGATGGACCCATCTTGGATGACTCACACCACATCCCTTGGTCCAGGGAGCCGTGCATGCACGCGACCGGGCGGCCTGGGAGGCTTGAACCTCAAAGAGCGGCGCCTTGGGGTTCACCGTGCGCGGCGGCTTCTCGTCCTCCTCCTCCTTCGGACCGAGGGACGGACACGTCGGAAACCGGGCAGACGGGTCGAACGAGGGGGGTTCCGGAGGTCAGGGGAGGACGAAGAGCTGGAAGATGGGGTTTGGAGTTTTCTGTTCTGGAGGTGGCTGCAAGGTCCGGGAACGTTCCCCTTGTATTCATGTCGCCTCACAGCAAAAAAGGGATTCTGGAGTCCAGTCTATTCAGGAACCCCATGAATTTTAATGGCCGAGCCCCGTGTTCGTTGCGGTCGAGTGATCCACGGTCACCATGTGTGCACAACCACCGGCAGGAACTGCGGTTGCATCTCTCCCAACTCGACGGAAAAACCAAGCCACCCCAAAAATTCCAAGACCGTCACCCCGAAAGGGGCTTCGAACAGCCGCCGATCTTCCCCAAAACACCGTGTGGCTTTGGCACCCCTTTGGCGCCGACCGACGGTGAATCGGGGTGCGCGCGCCTCCATGCAAGCGACCAGCTCTTCCGGTCGCAACAGCATGCCCAGCCTGAGGATCCGCGACCCGTTGCGAACACGCGGGCGTTCCGGTGGATGGCCTGTTGGCCGCATCCCGCCGGCAGAGATGGGCCACTCCCTGGTTGGAGGGTCTGAAGTAGGTCCACGGGGTCTACCCGAATAGGGGATAGTACCTTTCACCTTTCACTCAATTTACCCATCAAATTTGGGTGACTGCCAGTTCTCTCTTCACTCAAAGAGAAAGCAAATAAACACCGTGGTTGACTTGATGGAATGGACATGCCGTTCTCATCCGTTCCGTCTCGGACGAGGCACTGATGTCCATCCAGCTCCGCATGGCGTAGGCAGAGCGCACGGCCCGTGCGACTCCAGGCATCGCCACTGGTCTCGATGTCCTGCCGGTCGTGCGTCTGCGGTCTCCGGGTGAGGGTCGGTTTCTCAGAAGGGCCGGGTGTTTGGGATCGGTCTGTGGTGTTTGAGATCTCTCTGTGGGACTTGGTGTGACGGCTTTTTTCTCTCTCATGAGGTGGTTGGGAGCAGGGCCCAAGCTAGAAGACCCTCAGCGAACCTCCACGCCAACGATGGTTGCAAGAAATCGATCCAGAGAAGCGGATGAAGCCATCGAGTACTGGATTTACAGGTCATTGAGGGAGTGAAAGCCATGCATGTCCTCGATCAGGGATCTTCCAACTGTGACAAATTTCTGCCTTTTCATCGATCAAATCAGCCAAGGTTGGCAGACATGCCTGGCATGTCGGAAGATCCAAGTATTCCGTTGATGGATCGACGTGCCTGCAGGTGCAAGAGGCCGGTGAGATACCCATATTGGCCGCCCTCAATTTGTAGGTCGATGTGAATTGGAGAAACAGGTGAGCTTGGATGAAATCGCAGGTTCTTGGAGCTCTCATTGAAAGCGGCGCACACTACTCACCGTGGCCGTCTTCGTTTTGGACCCCACACTATAACGGTGCCAAGCAGTCTCGTCGCGATGGCGGGTCGGTCCTGGAGACTCTGTGGGTACTTGAACTCCACTTGGCAAAAGTCACCATAGCAACCCGGCACCGCCATCGCCGGCTCCTGGCAGGGTCAGAAGAGTTCAACGCCTTCTCCTTCTCAAACGAAGAAAACGAAGAAGAACAACGAGTGAACACCATCGCCGGCGGCCGGATCCATGCACGGTTGTATTTGCACGGAGCCGGATCGGTGGACGGCTCTGGGGAATTCGACTTCGCCGGTTGGGTGGTTTTTTTCGAGGGAGTGAGAATGGTAGAACTCCAACTCAACGGGACAAGACCAGGAGCATCCAACCATCTAAGTGTGGCTGGACTGTACTTAGCCCACTATTTATATACTCTCTCTCAATATCGATCGCCAGAACACCCACTCTCAGGATGCTCTAGGTATGTATTGATTCTGAATTCGTGCTGGGGCTCAATGGTCCGACAGCGGGGCTTCTCCGCCACGGATGTATTCAGCGAGACGGACGTCCTGGAACGCCTTTCAGAGAGACGGACGTCCAGACAAACTCATTGGCCTTCACCCCCGATGTTAACCGAACCAACTGAATCCCGTTCTTTTGGAGTACAGTGGGGCCGCTCCCAATCCCCCCATTCGAAGATTTGGTGGGTAATCCACGCTGCACAGGTGCAGGTTGGGGAAACTCATGAAATTGTGGGTCTCAACACCTCAATTCGTATCTAGCTTCGACACCAAGCTGCTCCAACCCCCCAACCTCCCTCTCCCTCGCCCTCCCTCCGCCCCTCCGTCGCTCCCATCCCATCGCCCCGGCAGGACGCGTCCTGCTTCGCCTTCGTCAGCGACTTGCGCTCCTTGCCGCCCCGCGGCTTCTGGGGCGATGTGCCCGTGACCCGCGGCACGTGGGGCCGGAGCGGCGGCAGCGTGATCAGCGCGCGGAACTTCCGGGGGAGGAAGGAGAAGTGCCGCCGCGGCAGTCTGAGCGCTTTTGGGGCCGTGTGCATGGGCGATTGGCGGAATGGGTGATGGTGATGGATGGGGGAGATGGATGGATGGGATAACGTCTGCTTTGCGATAAGGTGGAAGGACTGGGTTTTCATCTTTCAATGACACTCCCTGAAATCAATCCTCTGGAAGATCCTCTACTTCTGTTTTGGGGAACCTGCGACCTGCTTCCATGAGCAACGTCTCAGAGGGTGGATCATAAGCCATCCCCGCTCCGTGCGAAGCAAACGCTCCGCCCCAAAGCAGCGGCTCATCGACCGCTGTGGCACCCGGCATGCAGTGATTCTTCGGCAGCTCATCGAGCGGACGTGAAGGCAGCTGACCCGTGGAGAAGGAGCGCACACCGCTCTCCATGGCGCTGAGGGGTGTTTGACCACCGCTGATGGCTTTGTCTTGAAAGAATCATGTTCGGCTGGAACCCCATTTTGAGCTGGTGGGACCTGACCTTGGAACGTTTTTTCCGGCACCTTCCTTCCTTCGTCGTTGGTTCTCGCTGAAGAAACGCAACGGTGTGGGGGGGCCGCCCGACTCACGCCACGTGGCGCCGGGAGTCTTCAGTGTGTTTAGTCATGTCTAGTCTCTACGCACTAGACATGAGCGTTGCTGGTGAGTCGTCCATTTCTCTGCTGGTTAGTCCAAGTGGTTGCAGGGGACAGCGCCACTCAAATCCAATGCGTTCTTAAACTTATGCATCATTGATCAACATCTGTTCTTGCCGTGAAATTGCAGCAACATCTTCACCAAGGCCGAAAAAAACAGCTGAGGAATGCAGCGCCCATGAGAATGAATGAAGGGTTACCATGCCAAGAAGACACCCTATCGGTTTAGAATAGAACGGATGTGACCATCACTGCATGGACGAATATCTAACCAACTTGAGGGGAAACAATCAATTTCATATCTTGGGCCTATCCTACTACCAGGGCCTATTCGTGGATGATGATGGGGCCTGGTTGCAGGCCTTGTTCAAAAATAGTGACTTGCTTGTTTACTGACTGTTACAGGTTTTCTAGGACAGACCCAGTTTCATATCCTTCCCCTTTGGCCATGGTGAAAAGCAAGCCATCTCCGAAGAAAGCCGAACGGTTGACAAAATCGATGACACAGCGATCCTTTCGAAACTACTTAAGGAGACAACCTCTAGAGGAGACCTGTTAGAGGGTGCTGGCCCAGAAGACCAAATTTGAATTCTCCCTCCAAACTGACCCATCTTTGGTCAGCCACGCTATCCCATACAGGCCCACGATGCCAAACCCCCACGCCCTCTCCCGCCCTCCGATTCCCTCGCCGGAAACGCCCCCTCGGTCCCGCCAAGAGCCGTCGCTTCCCTCCGATTCCGGCCACCCAGATTCCCTCAGCGCTGCCGAACCCAGTCCCAACCAGAAACAGTCCTGGTTGTTCCAAGGCTTGCTCAAGTCATTCTTTACATCGGAAATGGCCGGGACTGAGGGAGTTCCATCCACTTCTTTCTGTTTGGATCCCTCAGGCGCACAACGGTTTCCTCGATGGTGCGGCAGCCCTCCACGAAGATCCCACCTGCAAAGTCCGTGCCGCGCGCCGCTCCACGTCGTCCGAACGCGTCGTCGTCCGAGTCGGGTCGGAGTTGGGGAGTTGAGTCGGTCGTGAGAGGTGGAGCGAAGGGGCAGGTGTGGACGTGATGTTCTGGTCCTCCTTTTTGTTGGAACATCTCCAGAGAGAGGACGGATGGAGCAAGGAGAGCTTGGCAGCTTGGCAGCCCAGCTTGTTCAGAGCAAAAAAGCGGACGGTTAGGTGTGCGTCCGGCCGCCATAACGGCGGCAAACGGAGGATGAGTGAACGAGCCGCCACCTTGGAAAAAGTGGAGGAACGGTGGCGGCCGCTACGGGACCGGAACTTCCCGTAAGGAAGCTGCCGAAGCCGAAGTCGGCCAAAGACGGCCACTGGGGAGTGCCTCCATGAGTGCCTCCAATGTGGACAACAACGAACAACCTGAACACCAATCCCATCACAACATTCACTTCATGGAGAAACCAACAGTTTTTGCCTTCGAACAGAATTGAACCTCATTTCCGCCCTCCTCCTCCTCCTCCCTTCGTTTTTTGCCCTCCACGCTCCGCCACGCCACTGCGCGCCGTGCACGCTGCGTGGGCCTGGTGTGCTGGTGGTGCGTGGCCCCGTGGGTGGGCTCTTATCCAGCAGCACCTGACAGCTCAGAAAGACCACGACAGACCCCTCCCAAGAGTGGCCCAGGTTTTGGGGAGGACTTGGAGGACTTCTCCCTCATCCGGTCAAATCGAATCTGGCCACCATTTGGCTGGTTCTTCTATCTTCATCTCTAAATGCAGACTAGAGTTCTGCGGGGACCACCACGGAACAAAAGGCCAAAGAAAGAAAGGAATCAACACAGGCCTTAGAACATTCCAAGAGTCTATATAAAGAATAAAAGACATCGACATGTACACCTTAATCAATGACTATCTAGTTTGAAACATTGGGTATATCCCATTCCCTCTTGGCCCAGTGGATGATGATGGTTCAGTTCCGATGGCTCTACAGGTAAGTTCGGATCAAACATAGCAGGACTAGCGCTCTGCTCCCTCGGCCTGGATGAAGGTCACGCCCAGGCAGAAGACGTCACCTGCGATGGATGGGTTCGTTTCGTTGCACGGCTCGGGGCAATGGCAATGGGTTCTTGGGGTTCCATTCAGGAGGCCTGTGGTTGAATCAAATTCATTGACATGTTTTCACACGTTCTGTACATTTGTTTCCTGAAATCAGATCTTCTCTAGAACCATCCTTTCTCAAAAAACATGTTCCAAAACATGTGTCGACAGGTGCCGACACGTTTTTTCGCCCAACTTTGCGTCCAACACGGATCCAAGTGAGGCTTCGCCCCACATCTGCTGCTGCGGGTCCCAGAAGAAAAACACCACCCAACACCCATCTCCACCGCTCGCCACGGCGACCCGCTCGCCACCGGCTCGCGACCCAAAACCCCGCGGGACCCGCGGCGCGGGACCCTGCCTCGGGGGAACCACTTCCGTTGCTTGATGGTCTCCGGTGGCATGTAGCCGGGCCTCGGTCTCCGGTCGATTTGTGGTGCGGTCCCCCCAGTCCCGGAGATCGAGGTTGTGAGGTCCGAAGTCAGCGTCAGCTGGTGAGGTAGGGGGCTCGAACAACGGAGACTTCGGGAACTGAGAAAGGTCTGTGGTTTCCAGCCAGGAGGGGGAATTTGGGTTCAGCTGGCTGGCGAATTTCAAGTTCCCAATGATTTTCCAGGTCCCTTTGCGGGCTCCAAAACCAACACCTTCTTCCGTTCTTTTCTGGGGTCCCGTGCAAGTCTTAGAAATAGGACCCGAATTCAACGGGAATAACATTTTTGTATGCTGACGGTTCGTTTTCAGGTGTTTTTTTGTTTATGCGGCAGGTTCTTTTTCGTGTGCGGCAAAATATTTTTCTTATGCGGCCGGTTCTGTTTCTTGGTCCATGCCTTGCGCAAATCCTTGTTTGACGGGGATCTTTTAGGATGGATTCTGATTGACGGGTGCCTTTAACGAGGAATCTTTTTGACGGGGATCCTTCAGCAAGGATTCTGTTTGACGGGTGCTTTTAACAAAAAATATGTTTGACTGGGGTCCTTTAACAAGGATGCTGTCTGACAGGTGCCTTTAACAAGGAATCTGTTTGACGGGGGTCCTTCAACAAGGATTCTGTTTGACGGGTGCCTTTGACAAGGAATCTGTTTGACGGGGGTCCTTCAACAAGGATTCTGTTTGACGGGTGTTTTTAACAAAGAATCTGTTTGACGGGGGTCCTTCAACAAGGATTCTGTTCGACGGGTGCTTTTAACAAAGAATCTGTTTGACGGGGATCCTTCAGCAAGGATTCTGTTTGACGGGTGCTGTTAACAAAGAATCTGTTTGACGGGGATCCTTCAGCAAGGATTCTGTTTGACGGGTGCTTTCAACAAAAAATCTGTTTGACGGGGGTCCTTTAACAAGGATGCTGTCTGACAGGTGCCTTTTCTGTTCGATGGGTGCTTTTAACAAAGACTCTGTTTGACGGGGGGCCTTCAACAAGGATTCTGTTTCAGGGGTGCTTTTAACAAAGAATCTGTTTGACGGGGGTCCTTTAACAAGGATTCTGTTAGACAGGTGCCTTTAACAAGGAATCTGTTTGATGGGGGCCCTTCAACAAGGATTTTGTTTGACATGTGCCTATAACAAGGAATCTTTTTGACTTGGACACGATTCGGCTCATTTTGGGAAACGCAGGATTTGCTCGTTTAAGCTCACGGCTCACGCTGGAACACATGATTCGGCTCATTTTCGGATACAATCCCCTCGCACTGTGAAATAGATGCGGTGTTCAATTGAAATTTCTTCAACAGAAAATACGCGGGAGGGGGCGCGGGGTTTGCGCGTGGCATCTTCCTGCAACTTTTACACAAAAGGTATGCTACCTTGGAATGACACCTTCCTCTTCTAAATTCAGCCCCCACGTGGCTTACAAAGGGTATGCTACCTTGGAATGGCATCCTCTTTTACTCCGTCTTGAGCTAAATGCAAGTTCAGTGCGAATGCTCACTGGGTTCTCGGAAAGGCGCCCTAAAGGAAACTGATTGCAAAGAACATGCGAATAGGCTCTGGTGATACAAAAGGAGTCCTGCCTTGCAAAGGACGAAAGCTCTTTTGATGCTCGCTGCACCCTTCTCCTCGCGAGCCAAATGTTTCTACCAGGTTCCTAGCTTACAGGGCATCTTCTGAGGTGCTGTTTCCCTTGTAGCCTTTCATCTCCCCCTTCGTGCGTGTCTCATCAAGGCTGAGGGATGAGTGTTATGAAAGGCTGGACTTCACAATTCCGAGCAGCGTTAGAGCATGATCCCACTTCGCGACTGCGAGTGGCTTGGTCATTGGGTCTGCTCGCTGGCAATCGGTCTTGATGTACAGGAGCTTTGCGCTGTTACTGGAAAATATCTCGCGCAATGATGACAAGTGTATCCTGTGATGCTTGGACACGTGCCTTAGTTTTGCACTGTAACCTTGACTACAAATAGTGATTACTGCACTATTGTCTTGCATGCAAAGTAGCTCGACATCACGTTTGTAGTCTTCTTCTGCAAACTCCAAAATAGGCAATTGCGCTGTCGGTGCAGTGTGCCCAGCACAGCACCATCAAAGCCGCCGTAATGGCGGCAGCTCTGTGCCTGCCGCCGTTGCAAAGACAGACCAACGTCTTGCCACCTAAGTCAGAAGGAAGCAGGTGCATCGAACACCCCATGAGCTAACGAAATAATTTCTGCATCCGTTGTGGAACGGGCCGTTGCTCCTTGCCTTTTGGTATGCCATGATAGAGGCCAATACGATGATCGGCCCTCTATACAAAACAGTCCTCCGAAGTGCTTGTGGTGTCTTCAATTGCACTCGAATGATCTGTGTCAGTGTGAAGGACTAACCGCAATCCTCTGGTCGGTCGGCAATCCTACCTCGCAAGCAGTAGCTTTTTGTTTCCCAAAGGTAACACATTAACCTATGGAGACGACGATTGTCTGCTCTGCTCCATTTGGTGACCCTTCGAGTCAAGTCAAACCTCCTATAGCTTTGATCACGTCAGGTCTTGCGAGACGACTTGCCCACAACACCTTCATGAGGATTTTGCTGGCTCACAAAAGGTATACCTTGCGCGGGGGGACCCTAAAGAATGGAAGCCTCAAGCTAACCTGCCAAATCTGTAGCCCGAAGCCAGCGCCAAGCGGCGTGGAGAAAGGAAGGCCGGCCCACACGCCTTCCTGAAAAAAAGCTAAAGGTGAGAAGCCCGAAGGATGTGAGCACCAAAGAAAGCTGCGACAGCCGTACCATGGTTCTGGGACTGGACTTGATTTGCATGCTCCTCGGCCTGAGCGGCTATGTACCTAGCACGATGGGCCTCAGCGGCCTGTTGCTCAGCCATGGAGGCTGCATGGTGTGCAATGTGCGCAGCTTGGTTTGCCTCTTGCAATGCAACAGCGGCCACGAAGGCCGCAGCGGGCATATGACGGGCATCTGTGTTGTTCCACCCGAGCCATACTACTTCATAGCCTACTGGCATCCCTTTTTGGGTGGTTGCGCACTCCTGCTACCGCAAAAGCCTCAAGATGTGAAACGAGACATCAAAACCCTGAAGATGTGACGCCCTTGGCTACACACTGAGCCAAGGCCGAATCCCCAATGTGTAAACAAAAAAGAAAAAGGACTACAGAAACACCACAAGGAAAAACACATGCAGAAGAAGAGCAGAGAAAATGCACAGTGCGAATACAACACAAAAAACACCACAAGGGCAAAGCAACGTAGACCAAAAGCACACACAAAAAAAGCAGCCGGAGTTAAACACAACAAAAAACAGCAGCACAAGAAAAAACAAGGCACAAAAAACAAGCATAACCTGAAATGAAGCCGCAAAAGAAATCCCAGCTAACACAAACGCCCGCACTCCAAGTTGAGACTAATCTCTCACGTTCCAAATTGAGACTAATTGCACGTTCCAAAACGAGGCCGTTTCCCTTTAGCAAGGAACTTGTTTGACGGGGATCCTTCAAGGAGGATTCTGTTTGACGGGGGTCCTTTAACAAGGAATCTGTCTCACAGAGATCCTCTAACAAGGACTGTCTCTGTTTGACGGGGGTCCTTGCAGAAGGAGTCTGTTTGATGGCCATCGACACCTCGGCCGACACCTCCGCCTGCATACCAAAAAGACCCGCCTGCATACCAAAAGCAACCATGTGCACAAAACAAATAACATAAAAAGCATAAGAAAAAGCACTATGGACAAAGGAAACAACACCAACAGCATCAGAAAAAGCACCCAGAGCATAGTAAAGAACACCCTCGATTTAAAAGCACCCCTGCCCATATCTCCGCGTAGGGGAAAGAACACCCAGAGCATTAAACAAATCACCCAGCCCAATTTCAACTCGTTCCCATGTTTTTTTCCCAACAATTCCCATTTTCCCTGTCTCAGGGTCTCCAACTTTCCGAATTTCAACCGGCTTGTCTGAGATGCCCCAACCAATGGAGAATCATTAGATTGTGAAGATTTGTGAAGGGTGAACCTTTTCTTTAAAATAGAACAGATCTTGATGCGATCGACTCTCCAATCTTCTTACGGCTTCAATTTTTCACCTTTCATTTTCTTCAGTGGCCTCTCCCTTCCTCGAATCCCTTTGGCATCCCTTTGGCTCCGTGCGTGCCACCAGGCATGCCTCGGCTGAGACAACCGGACGCTGAGACGACGGCGCGGCGCACCCGGTCGTCTTCACATGGGATGAACACATATGATCAAGGCATCAATCGTTTTGGGGTTGACACTTTGACCCGAGAGTTCCAAGTTCGACTTTCAAGTTCTTTCGTTCGAGTGTCGGAAGGTGTTTTTCAAAGGCCAAAGGCAGGCCGTTGGTCCAACGTGGCAAGTGGATCCAAATCTTTACCGGCAACCAAATACTATGGGTTGTTCACTTGGGGGTATCAACCAACCAAGGCCACTACCAAGGCAATCCAAGCGTGTCAGTTGCATCAGAGTTCCTTCCATCAAGAACCAAGAAGGACTGGTAAACACTGATCGTCCAACAAAAGAGCCCGAAAAAGAGAAAAACATGCGGATCGATCCCAGCAAATCAGTCGAATCCATGCACAAAGGGACTCTTAACCAGAATTATATAGACTCCAAGTAGATAGAAAAGTCAGCTAAAAATGGAGCTTTTCCTGGACCTCAAACACACCCAAATCTGTTTAAGTGGGACCAACCAAACGAACCACAACGGCTCAGCTCCTGGTACGTCTGCGCGGAAACACGACCCAAATCGATGCTGGAACCGCCGAGCAAGGGGTTCAAACCCCGTCCACACCACCTGCTCCGACGCTTTTGGCGGGTGCCGTGCGGCCGCTCGCCAAGGGGCCGTTGGAGGCGGTGACCATGGCGCGACAGACGCCGAAGTCGATGACCACGACCTGCGAGCGACGTCAGCGGGTCGAGCAGGTGGTCTCATTGACGCCTAAGAGGACGCAGTGAGGGGTGGCAGTGGGGAGGTCTGCAGGGGTGGTGAGGATTCCAGGATCTGCTCTCCCCCCATTGTGGTCGGAGTGGTTGAAACGCTGCGGCCCCCTCCCAAGGTGGCCGGTCAGAACCATTCGTGTAGAGACCTACCGGACAAAAGGTCATTGGATCGGAAAAACACCTATCACAAAGCAAACGTAGCTTTGAGATACCGTCTGCAATCAAGCTTCCATGTGTCTTGCTTTCCTTCTTCCTTATTTGGGGGATCTCCCCTCGTTGTACTTTGGACCACGCGCCATGTGAGAAACCGTCCCCCAATTGGCCTCAGGCTTCCGGAAGTCCTTCGTCTTGATCATGATGTTCGGCTCCTGACCCCGGCTTCGCACCGCCACCGCGAGCGCGCACGGCCACCTGCCCGGTGGTGCTCGGCTAGAAACACCCACAAAGCGCATCATGCACACACACAGGTTGGGTTTTGGAGATGAACCGCAAACCACGCTGTGGTCAAACTATACCTAGAACGGAAGCGGATAGACGGCCGTGGTGTGATGAAGGATGCTAGAACGGAACCTGAGAACTCGCACAACAACCAATGCGGGGCAAGGCCGAAACAACAAGAGCCAGACCGCGTACTCCAGATTCCCCCGACGACAGGTGCCCTATCAGTCATGCACATCAATAGCCGACCATCCATCTCCAGCCGACCGCAGCGTTGAGATCAGGCGGGCTGTGCAGGGGGTCGGAGGACCTCTGAAGCAGGTGGTTCGAATCCCTCAAGGCTTCCCCAGCTCTGAAGCAGGATATCCGTGCGAATCCCGAAGAAGCAGGTGTGGTTTCACTAAGGATTTCTACAGCTTTTATCCTCACAAACTGCCGTGCACAACTTCGGCAACGCTGTGCATCTTAGTATATGTTCGCGTGGCATCATGTTTCTATATCAACCTTCAACTGTAGTGACACTGTAGTGCAAAAGGTCTGTGTTTTTGTTGCCGCGAGTTTTCCCTTTCAGGAATCTAGCGAGACAAAGACTTCTATAGAGGAGTTGAATATATTTGTGGTGTACATTGGGCATTTCTGCCAATGGTCACCTCAATGAGAAAAACCAACTGCAATTAAGGTTCCACCTGCACCAGCAAATATGTAAACAAACATTGGTAGTCACCACAGCAGTGTTCCCGAGTTTGTTCCCCACGTGCGTTCTCCCCTCGCCATCGCGCTCCCTGCCCCGGTGGCTGAACTGCTTCGCTTCCGCCGATCGTGCGGTTTCGAACGAAACCGCCTTGATATCGCAGTGCATCATGGACTGTTCGTGCATGAACTCCAACGCCTCGAGAGCGAAGCAACGGACCCTGCTTCCGTTGTCACCGGGCCGGGTGTGTGTCAAGCGGATGTGGCTGGAACTGACCTGGTAGACTTGTCGTCTCACGTTTGGGGTGGGGCTGGAATGAGAAACAACAGGGAGTCCTGAGAAAATGGGCGCAACATCTCCTTTTGAAGAAACAACTCTTTGGTCCATTGTGGGAGACTGGACATGTTTGGACGAGGAACAGCATCTGAAAGGATGTTTTTGCCTAGTCAAGGTCTCAAACCAAAGATGCAACCTTTGATTCAATTGCAATTGCACCGATGCATTCATGCACCCTCCACGTCCCTCACAAACACATGTGATGATTGAAATCATTTTAAAATTGATTTAGACACTGGAGATGCCAAAAGCGGTTGCGGTCGTAAGGATTTCTCCGCCGACCCAACTTCGACTAGGTCTTGTTTCTTCAGCCGTAACAACTAGACTTCCTGGGAACCCACTTTTACGAAACTTACGAAACCCTTGACATTCCTTGTCAAGAAGTTGCCGGACAGTACCTTTGCCAAGAGTTACATCCCACACCCAGGGCTTTTGTGTCGAAAGATCAAAAAAAACCTGGGGACTTTTTCCATGGATTCCCCAACCAACATCCTCGCTCGGTGCCCCAAAGGGCCGCGTCCCCGCACACACCGAACACGACGCGGTCGCCGCACCTCGGCGCACTGACGGAAGATCCCGCGCCACCACTCCTGCGACGAAACGTCGGGGGAGCGTCCGAACGTTCCGTTCGCGTCCGAGGCGGTGCCGACAGGGCTTGACAGGTGCGACGGAAGGACCCCAGTTGAAGGAAGGAAGGACGGTTTAGGAAAAAAGACGAACGAAAAAGGGACCTTTTCTGAATTGATCCCACCTTTCTTTGAGGGGCTTAAAATCACATGTTCGGACTTGCCACTGGCAGGTGCTGAGAGAGAAAAACCCATCCTTACTTCGAGGTACACAGTGAATCGTGAACGGCATGCCGCTTAGTTTTCAGAACTTGGGAGATGTACCGTGCGAAAGAGAGGCATCTTGGCATCGAAAGAACTTGTCTGTGGAAGCTGCTTTTGGTGGCGAAACGGGCTTTCGGCTGCGCGAGGTGAATCGCAGATTCTGTGCAACGAAATCGTGGCAGGCGCAGGACGTGTTCGCTGCGCAGGGCGTGCAAATTGCGTGGCTCCGGCTCTACCGTGCATGGTTGATCATCTGCTCGGAAGGCCGAGGTCGCATCGATTCGGACACCAAACAAATCCAAGTTCCCTATACCAAAGACGCAGAGCATGCCTCGTCGCACGAAGAGAAAAAGAACAGGTTTTGGCCGAAAGACCAGCGGAATGTCCTTCCATATCAAATTCCACACTGTTGCATCACCTGTTCCACCTCCCGAAGCTGTTTGGTTTCACACAACACAAGTTTGAATCTCGCACAGTTCCGTTTCGCAGCAGCGAATCAGCTCAAGGGCCCTGTTCAGCCGAAACAGCAGCGACGGTGCATCAACTGTACGCAATACACCCTGGCTACAACAGCTGAAATTCACACCCGTCTTATCTACAGGTGTGTTGCGGGCTTTACAGTTCAAGTTGTACAAAGGCAGCCAAGCAACTCTATTCCCCGTGGGGCCGTAAACCATGCCATTCCATGTCGAATTCTCAAAACAAGTCAGGTGAGACTTCTTCATCTTTCTTCTTGGCTCCCTTCTCGCATGCGCCACTGTTCTCGACATTTACAAGGCCACTTTCCAGTGTCTTGAGGAGGTAGTCCGGCTTCATGCTCTTGGTTAGCGGGTCTGCCAATTGCTTCGATGTCTCAATCCACCTCAGGTGGTCACCATAGGGACTGTAGATCTCTGATGTTTTCTCGCCACTCACAGTCCACACTCCTTGCCTCAATGCGGCAAGTTCTATGCCAAGCCTCTTGTCTTGTACCTTCCTTGGAACTTCTGCCAGTAAATGGTCCGATAAGCTCCTGCAATCCGTGTAGTACACGTGTGCCATTCGTCTCTGAGTTTCTTCATGCCAGTTCTTGAAGTCATCAAGTCGTCCGGTCAACTCACAAATCAGGCATCGTAGACGATCTCCATGTTCGACTGCAGTTTGCAGAGCGTATGCTTCTGCTTGCAATGTAGCACGACACACCCTTTTGAGGGTAGTTGAACCAAAGCTGATCAGATGCATTCTGTGACTGCCTTCCTTGAGGCTGCTCGCATTCGTTATGTAGTGAATGCGGCCTTGCTGACTCTTAAAGCCTTCTTCGTTTGCGAAACTTGCGTCGCTAAATGTCACAACTGCCAGATCGCTCCAGTCAATCCAATCGCTCTTGAAGGTGATCTGCAAGTCACTTCCTTGAAGTGCCAATTCAACAACCTTGTTGGCATTCTTCAAGTCTTGCACTGTTGCCTTTGCGCTACATGCACGCTGCATCTCATTCACACGGTAACAAAGGTCTGGTCTTCCATAACGGGCAACCCAAGCCAAACTACCAACAACGCTCCTGAGGCTTGTCAACTCCTTCTCTGTCACCTTTTCCGACAGCTTCCGATGCTTGTCGATTTCGATCGGCTTCACTGTTCTGCAGTTTTCACTTGTAGAAATGCTCACGGAGTAATCCTCATGCTGTACGAACTGACGTCCGCAGTATCGGAACTTTCCCGATTCTGTTTTGCCAATCGTGAACCTTTTGAGGATACCTTCAATTGTCTTCTTGCCTTCGTCAAGGTAGCAATACAACAAGTCGTCAACATGTGTCGCGACCATGCCTATCAACTTTCCCTTGGAGTTGTGCAAGTAGTACAATGCAGGTGTAATGCGACTGCACTTCAACCCGGCACTGGTGATCTCACCATTCATCCTCAAGTAAAAACCTCTGCCAGCGTCGATCGTGCCATAGATCGGAAGGCGTGCAACCAACATTGCATCCGGTGGAACATCCGGGCTTGGAATTCCACCACGTGGCTGTTTGAGCAACAGCAACCTCGTCATAGGCTGACTTTGAAAATACGCTGAGGAAACATCTGCCGCATACAGGGTCACACGATGGCTTGATGCGAAGCTTGCAATCAACATGTGTCCTTCAGTTTCAGCAGTGGGGCTATCACAGCGAATACCTTGTGAATCACGGCTCACTTGTTCGTGATTTCCACAGGCTACTAGCCGAGATCTGTTTTCTGGCTGATGCTCAGGCGTACCTGTCAGATGAGCTTGCTTATCCACATCTACCCATTGCATAGGAATAGGAACATGCCCTTCTTGAAGTAACTCTTCCAATTCCTTGCCTCGAATAGGCATTGCAGCATTGAAGCTCCTATATTTGCTCCACTCTGCACGACGTGCATCCAAGATGCGAGCTTGCATCTCGGGAGTGCATCGGTCGTATTGCAGCGTCTTTGCCACCTTGCCAACCTGCGTCTCACTGTTTTCTCCAAAGCGTTGAGCCACGAAAGCTCGAAACTCTGCAGCATCGAGTTCAGTGTCGTCAGCAGCGGCCATGGCGATCAACGGGTGTTTTACCCGTGTAAAGATTGTGAAACCTGTCCATGCGCGAGAATCAACATCATCCATGCCCGGCATGGACTCGCTGGTCATTCGACTTCCGTCTTCATAGACTTTTCTGGTTACGCGTCTTCCTCCGAATCCTTCCGGAACATCTCCGTCATGCAGCGGATGAAAGTCATGGAATCTCCTCTTGTTGTGAACACGAATTGCATGATTCTCAGAGATTCTCCAATGGTCTTCATTGTCAACCAATGCAAGCATGACCTCATCATCACCACCAATGCCTCCGGGGGTCATCGGAACTGTGACTGCGCTTCCACTCGCGCTTGCAGATGATCGGGCAGCCTTGCCCGTCTTATCTTCTGCTTGTGCTTCTCTCTTCTGTCCTTTCTTAGAGCTTGCTTCTTCATCCATCATTCGGATGTACTTCTGCTGTCCCAATGTCACTGCCTCCGGGAATACTGGGATGTTGTTCAAAACAGAGTAGGCCAAAGATTCACTCTCATTGGCTGATCTAAGTTTTCCGGCGGCACACAAAATAGGAATACCTTCATGTAGCAACCAGATACCATTATGCGGGTCGATGCCGATCACGCGCGAAGCAGTGGACCACACGGTTCCACCTTGCTGGGTGTCTCGACGGTAGACCACAAGGTCTCCAACCACAAATGTCTTCTTGTTCTGGACTGCAGCATTCCTGGTCAATGCTCTTGCAACACGGGAGCTTGTATCCAAATGGATAAATGCCTTTTGCGCAGCCATACGGGACGCATGACACAAATGATAGCTTGCTGCAGGGTCAAGCTTGTTCTCCAAGATGCCCAAGTTTCCTGCCTCATCCATATCTGTCACAGATCCTGGAACTCTTGGGTTCCTTCCCAGGACCCATTGTGCTGGAGAATAGCCTTGGACTCTTTGCATGTGGTTCTTCACGGAAGTGCACTCGTGCAAACATGTTTCAAACGCATTGCGACCAACGGCTTCCATGTCATGGATGGTCTTCCTGAGGATTGCCTTCAAGATACCTTGGTGCCTTTCAACCTTGCCAATGGCTGATGGGGTTTCCAATGGTGCATAGAAGATCTCAACACCATGCGAAGCGAACAGCTTGGACACCTCACCTCGGTTGTGGACACCTCTATCCATGATTGCAGCCTTTGGAAAACCTGCCCAACTGATCCATCTGCGAAGGATGGCTTGTGCACAGGCTTCTGACGTTGGCATACCTCCACCTTCTTTGACAACCTCTGACAAATGGAATCCTGTCGAAATGTCTAGCATCGTGAGAATGCTGTACTTGTTCCCTGCATAGTCCTTCATTTCTGTGACATCAAGACCAAGCATAGCATTGAACTCATACTGGAAATTACTATTTCCTACCGGATGGTCACGGGGACGTGGTGCAGTGTCTTCGCAGGACTGACAACGGACGAGACGTGCAGCTTCGATCAACTCCTTGCTTGCTTTACCTGCCTTTAAAATATTCTTCAGAGTTGACGGTGCGGGATGTCCGAACTGCCGATGCAAGCGACGGATTGCAATGCGAGTCCTCTGGGGGAGAGCACGCCACAGTCGTCTCCGTTTCTGTTCCGTCATGTCGGCTCCGGGCAATGCAAGTTGATCTAGCATGAGTTCTTCCTGTTCTCTTGCCGTCAACGGGTTTCCATCATCATGTTTGGTTTCCTGAAGAACTCCCTCAATGTCACTGTCCTCAATTTCAGATATGTCTTCAAGTTCGTCTGCGACAAAACATGTCCGTGCAAAATGCTCCAAGTAAGTTTCTTCTGACATGGTGTTCAACATCTCTAGAAGTCTTGCCGATTTCGCGTCCTCAAAACATTTTGGAATCATGTTTTCTCCGCACCAACCTTCCAGCGCCTCCAAGAGCTTGGGGCTTTGTGGACCTGCCAAGGCAAACTCTAGGTCACCACCGAGACAAATGGAATGTTCGACAGATATCTCGAGAAGTGGTGTGAAAAGAAGAAGGTTGCAACCATACATATCGACTTCCATGAGCATATCATTCCAAATCCTCCTGGGGTCCGTGTTCTCCAAAAACAGTACAACCAAACCAGGGATCTTATTTGAAATGTGCTTGATGATCTCCTTGCGGGTCTTCACCCAGTTTGCACCTACATCGAATACCTTTGCACTCTGGGGTGCATTGATCAACATGTCATCCTTGACAATGACCATGTGTTGTACACTCAACGGGTTGTTCG